TTGATACTGTAAGTCATGAGCTATTCCTACAGTCTCTTAAAGATATGGGAATAAGATGAAACGGCCAAAAAATTTTTAAAAGCTACCTCACAAATAGAAGGCAGAGTTGCTAATAAAACGAATAACTCTGAAATACTAGAGTATGGTGTTCCTCAGGGTACTGTTCTTGGGCCTGTACTTTTGAATTCATATATAAACGGACTTTTTTCATTACAAAGCTGCGATTAAATAATTAGATTTGCTGATGACACAGTAATATTTTATGAGGGACAAGACTGGAATACTCTAAAAATAGTTGCTGAAAATGATTTCGCTTCTATTAAACAATTCTTAGATTCAAAATTACTCACGCTAAATCTAGAAAAAACAAAATACTTACCCATCAGTTGCAATACAGGTGGATTAGCAGAATTTCAAAGTTTAAAAATCATTAGCAATGGAAAAGTGTATAATATTTTATCTGAAAAAGAATGTAAGTATCCTGGCGTATATATTGATAGACATTTAAAATGGGATTGTCACATAAACTATACAGTTATTCTCTATGAATTTAAATTTTTAAAAAATCTAAAATATTACCCTACTAGACTCACAGCTACAATACCATCTCATACTTAGCTAACCCGGAATAGATCAAACCATATTGTACCCTTGGTTGAAATATCTTTAACTCAAAGGTCTTTTTCATATCTAGGACCTAAGATGTATAATCACTTACCAGGGGAAGCACTTTCCATTTGTTCAAGAAATACTTAAAAATATTTACTTTCAATACCCCAAGAAAATATATTTCAGATCTAATTCAAATGAAACCTAAAAAGTACTCACTATTTAAGAAGGTTTGATGTTTTCGTATTATAATTTATCAATCAATATTTATATCGGACAATTCGATGGTATTTCTCTTTCTTTCCTTATTTTTTTAGTAGTATTATTAGTATTATTATATGTATATTATGTATGTTATGTATTACAGTATATCTACTCTATATTGCGTAACAAGTGTTAAGTCACTTAATGTGATCCAATTTATTTATTTCTCTTATTTTTTCTGTATCAAATGTGTTTTATAGGTACTATTTTAATGAATAAATTATTATAATTGTTATTATTATTATTGACTAAAATGTCCCTTAGCAACACTATAGTATTCTCCTTATATTTCTTTGATTCAAACAATATAAAATTAAATTAATAATTTAGTTATTTTAGAGAAATTATTTATTTTTAAGATAATTTTAAAGTCTTCATTCAAATTAATAAAAAATAATATTTTTCTGTCTAACACAATATTTTTTAAATGCTGACAATTTTTTTAGTTCAAAAGGTTGCTGAGTTAGTTAAGAAATATTTATTGGTTACAGAAATATTTAATCTCAATTTTATTAGATTTTCTATTAAAATTATTCTAAATTTGAGCAAAAATTCCATTTTACCCTTCCTACTAACAAACCCATCGTGATTTCACTATGCACAAATCGTACTAATTCGCATATTTGAGCAGAATGCATATCGCGTCGGTATTCGGTGAACCAGGGGACGTTTTTTAAAAAAATATAGTTCTCATTCAAACAAATAAAAAAATTAGTTGAAAATAATACCAAAAACATTTTTTGTTTCATACAGACCATTTGTTTTTCGAATTTAATGCTTGAAATAAATATTTAATATTAAATACATAATTTTGAAACAAACAAACTCAAAATGGTTATCTTGGATTAAACAAAATTTGTTTGACATAAACAAACAGATTTAAAATAATCTATTTGTTTAATTCTAATCAGATTAAATCAAATTAAATAAATAAGTAACATTCTAGATTACTGCATAAACGTATGAAATATAAATTGATTTCTGCTTAATTAATGAGTTAATTCATTGTAAATATTGGTTGATCTTGATATATCCAATTTACGGAATGAGCATATTTCGGATGACTATTTCGATAAATATTTACTTGCCAAATTATGATAATTTACGGTATTTTAATTTGGTTGGTTGCTATTTATATAATTGACAATGAATATATTAATTTCATGACTGCTTTGTTTGTATTTTTGATCGAATATTCATTATGTTTAAAATCTTTTTTGCGACTAACGTATGGATTATAAATTTTGTGAGAAAAGGGCAAATATTTTCAGACATTTAAAAGTTATTCTTGATGTCTACTTAAAAAGAGTAAAGTTAAAAAAAAAGAAAAAAATTAAAACTTCTTAAAGCATAATACCATTAATTATTATTTTTTTGAAAAAGTATTTAACAAAATTTGTATCCATAATTTTCATCCGTTTTTATATTTTACTGACATGTTTCTATATATGAACACAGTGTTTTTATGCTTTATATATATTGATCATAACATATCGGAAGTTGGTGATAACTGGATATAATTTCAATAAATCATTAAAAAGCAATTTTCTCATAAAAACTCATACGCAGTTTTTCATCATTTTGTATAGTGTATTTCATAATAAAGTTAATAAACTGTAGATACAATTTAGGTCCTTGCTAAATACTGTAAGTCATTTTGATAAAATATGACAAGTTCAACGCTTTACTTGAAAAGGAATAATAGATTAATTCATCTAAATATCAGTAAGCGAATAATTCCTGGAAGTTAACAGGAGATTTGAAGTTATGTCCCGAACAATGGTAAAGCCCGATATGAACCTATTTTAGGAATAATATGGGTTAGTGTAACTATTTTAGATATGCATTAAGGGTAATTAAAAGTTGTAACGCGTGGTCATCAAGTTAATACCTACTAATTAAGCTGAGTCTAAAAGATTCAAGGATTATCCATTTTAGGAAATATATTATATTATAAGTTTAGATCAGTAATAAATATAAACGTCCGATGAATAGAACGAGATGCAAAATACAACAAAGGAAATTTATAGACCAAGCTGAGACAAAAAAAGAAACAATACCAAGCAAGTTATTAATTTAAAATATAAAAATAGTTTCCTAAAAAATTAAAATTAATAGATTTGTAAAATAATAGTCATTTAGAATTGATAAATTTTAAAAAAGAGATATAAATATATTTTTGGTATGGAATATTGCATAGAGCACAGTTATAATTCACAACCTCAGGGGGGGATATCGCGCATAGTGTCATGGCGGCGCTGACGTCATGCGTAGAGTTAGTAGAGTTGGCGCCAAGTAAAAAATCATACGACAGACGCACGTTGCAGTGATTTGTAAGTTATTCATAGTGATTTATAACATTTTAAGCGAATATCTGTGTATTATATTATACTGTAGTGTTCTTTGTGAGTGGTATTAGTGATAAACATTAAAAAATGAGGTACGCAATTTACGGATGTAACAGTAACAATCAAAGAAAAAGAGTTGAAAAAGATGTTTTTCACATTCTTCGACAGTAAGAAGTTTGTCAGAAATGGCCAAAGGGCGGCTCTAGTTGTAGGTCCCAGGGAGCCTTGCTTCTTTCTTAATTAGCATTTTTAAATTTCATGAGGCTTTTATTAAAATATATACTAAAGAGGGAAATGTTATAGGCAATGCTACCCACTCCTCCTTGAAAATTTGACGAAGACGCCCTTGCAGTGGCCTGTGGCCGTGCAGATAAATTTAAAATAGAAAATTGTCATGTGTGTTCCAAGCACTTTTAACCCTTTAATTATAAGATCTTAAAGCAAACCTTCACGTTAGTTAATTCGTAACTCAGGACTTCTTAACTGGGGACCTTTTGAAAGCTGAAAATTTTGCAATATATAGCAGAGGTGAAATTATTTATGTCGCAAAAAATAAAATTTCGGCATGTTGTACTTGATGAAATAACTAAAAAACTGTCAGTGACTAGGTCCAGGAAAAATGCCGCCACATTTTATTTTTTGTATATACACCCACCATCTAGCAGTTATTTGTATTTGGTACATTTATGCTTTATATCTGAAAAATATTTTTTTGAAAAACTTTTTTTTTATCGTACTTATACATAAATCCCATCTTATTCATAAAATAAGTTGTCAAGTATATTCAGTTAATATATTGCAGATAAATGAATCATCAGTTGCGAATCCTAATCAGATAAATAGTCCCAAGATGCGAAATTTTAACCCAGGGTCCCCAGTTGACAAATTCCGAGTTACGAAGATACCCTTCTCATTATCCTGGTTATAGAATCTATTCTTTAGACATCAAATGTTCTTCTAAATTAAAACCTGCATTATATAATTTATATAACGAAAATAAATCATTAAAAAGAAAAAGGAAAAAACTGATACTTCAAATAAATATTTCTTTTATGTATGTATTAGCGTTTATTTTCCTTTATAGCTCTTTCCATAACTATCCCATAATAATACCCTTAGACATTTGATGTCATTTTTAACATATCATCCTTTAATATTTATGAAATTTCTGTAAATAGCATTTAGTTTCCTCATATTTCGACAGTATTTTTAAATTCCCGCCTATACAAACTCTACGCATGACGTCATGCGCGTGGTCGTCCTATTTTTGACACAGTTGATATCCTACCTTCTATTTTTTATACCATGTCACAACCTTACCAATAAATTTTAACCCCTAAACCTAACCCTTTACGAAGAAAAAGACGGCTATTTTTATTGTTTGCTGTGGGGCTCCGGGGCGACTTAAAGATGATTAATGGTGCCATTTGACTTACAGGTGAGGAAAACCTCACCCATCATCATCGAGACGGTAATGTATGGCGATTTTTTATAATCTGCATGTCATATCAACAGAAATTGAATTTCTATTAATACGGCACACATCAAATCCTATACCGAACCATACAATCTAATTAAAAATCCACATGGTCTGGTCTGGGATTCAAAGCCCAGCAGTCTCTGACACATAAACTTGCTTATAAATGAATATAAGCGCGTTAGACCGCTACACCACCGACCCGATGGTTGCATACTTTCAAACTATAAAGTGAATGGTTGAATTTTTTTGACTGTGCACTTCTTTTAGTATCAATAGCGATAGATAATAAGAAACTAGTAAATATTTGATTTATTTATTTCAATATATACCAAAACATTTTGGTTTAATTTGAAGAGACACTTTGACAAATGGGGTAGGCTAGTGCTTGGCAATTTGCATCATTCCACGAACCACTGCTATAATAGTTGGGATATATAGCTAGACAAAATTCATTACCTTCCTCGTTATTTGGTTCTCCTGCACCCCAATCGAATGACTCAATAACGTCCATTGTGGATAACCATATCCAATCGTTTGAATTGTTCAATTTTTTTCCAGATGTCCACAATTCAGTGGTCCCATCAACTGTAAATCAATATTATTAGCAGGGATCCCTAAAGGACACCCTTTGAATATATGTAGTACTTACGGACTAATGTAGGTATACATCCTTTAAGTTTCGTTTATTATAGGTTGTAAAAAATTCACCAACAACAAAAGAGGTTTTTATTTAAAATCCTATTTAAGGGGTGCATTTAAGTAACACATTGTAAGTGACAGATAATAATTTTGATATTGCACTTGAATTATTAGAAAATTGATATTGTAGAAGAAACAAATTGTTAATACATACTCACTTTTAACATTTTCTCAATACGAGTACTCTTAGGGTGAAGTGAAAAAAAATAATATTATTTTTTACTATATAAAACCTAAAAAAAAAACAGTGACATCTGTTATTACAATATTTGTTTAAAATGTTCCCCGTTGACCTCCTGGCAAAAATAAAATTTTTATGAGTATTTCCAGGTAAGTACCCGAAAGTTTGACCTGTTCTTTGGGGAAAAATCAACTGGTTAAATGAAATGAAAAATGTACAACTTTTTAATTAAATAATAATGGAGAAGCTTTTGTATATTTGAGAAGAATTAAACTTCTTTATTAATGTGGCTATTATAAACCTAATAATAATTTTATATTACACTTCACACAGAAAATATGGTCTATGTATAATAAGAGGGTTATTTAGCTCAAATAAAATATTTTCTAACATAAAAATTTGTTTGTTTGTTTAAAATTTCCACTAAATTTACAATATACATACAATGTCAACACTTGCAAAAAATCAATTCAACTGCAATATTTGTAACAAATTTAGTACCTACCATAATGTTATTTTAATTTAAATCTGACCATTAGGACAATTTTACCTAATTTCTTGGGAAGAGGCTTATTGGAACTGGTTGTCAATGACTAATTTACATCCGAAACCCGCGTAAGTATAGCGAACAGACTGTAGTTACTTACCACTTATTTTCTTCAAATCTTTAACTAAAATGGTATTTTCGTTAAGATTTTCTATAGCTGCCAACTGCATACTATGGGCTCTGCAGAAAACGATTGCATCGTCGAAACTTATCTACAAGTACAAAGTTAAGCTAAATGCATGATAATAGGTGTGAATAAGATGTTGGAGGTCTTGGCAAATACAGGAATATGAGGATTACCGCAACAATTATCTACTAATTATTTGACGGATAGAAGACAAGTCGTAAAAATTAATAGCACATACAGCAGTGAAAAAACATTTTGATTCGGTTTGCCACAAGGAACAGTTTTTTCGCCTGCACGAATTCAATACTGAGGCAAAATTAGTATATCATATTAAAGAAATATACTTACTGCTTCAAAATTAATAAAAAATGTTTTTGCACCCAGTTTTAACGTGTGGGACCAAAGTTGAGTGTCTGCAAAAATAAAAAAGTACAATATATAATCAACAGTTACCTATTTAGTTATCTTACCATTTTTCAAATATGCAAAAGTTGTTGTAAAACAAATAAAAACACACCAAGTTGCTAGGAAAAAATTCATTTTGATTTAATACATTTTACTTTATTCATAGATTTATATACCTATCAACTATCGTTAAATTGTTTCATTATCGTACAAAAAAGACGTAAATATGTTGTTTTAGATTTTCTAGATAGTTATGTGCTCATAGATAAAAGATTATTTAGTATTTTTAATAATTTTATAAGTAATAACCACTTCATTTGTTTAGCAATAACTCTAATTTAGGAGATAATACACATTTTAAGTACATTTTGTAAATCAGACTGTTATTTAGTATCAGTTAAAAATAAAATAAAAATTGAAATGACCAACTTCTACTAATACAGAAATATTGATCAAAATAGATTTTTATTAAACCTTAATATGTAAACATTCTCCTTTATTCAACAGTAATAATTGAAATTGAATATCTCACAGTGCTGATTAAATTCTGTTAACTATCTCGTTTTGCAAATACCGTAATTGATAACGAAATTTCGCTCAGATGAAACGCGGGGCATCTATACAAGCAGTTCAAGGAATGTTTGACCGAATAATTAGATGTTGAAATCTCGTGAAATGCAATGTTCAATCAGCAAAGTACAAGTTATAAAGTAATATTCGATGAAGTTATGAAAGCTTGCAGAATCTATTTCTCGATTTCGATTTTGTTGAACTTTATGTATACTAAGATTGATTGGTTTCTATAAGATTGTCGTTTATTGTAGATTCTCAAAGCTTTTGTATTTGCGTTGTTTAATTTTAGTATTAAAGCGAAATGTAAGTCTTCTATCTCACTTAATTTTAAAATCACCTCTTCGACATTCGCTAATAATTGTAATAATCATTAAAATGTAAAATAAAAAATAAAATTTGTATTACTTTGTTAAAAGGTATTTAACCTCTGGTACTACTATTATAAAATTTCTTCAGATGCAAACATACCTACACTAAGTTAATGTAGTTTTAAAATATTAGAAATAAGAAAAATCAGTTTACTGACCTTGCTTTAAACACCTATATATATGTGATCTGTAAGAACGTGGTTTGTGATAAAATTAAAGATTGAACGACTGTAAGGAAGATTAATCTTAACTATAGGATAATTTGGGTTATTAAACTTATAAAAATTAATTTATGAAAGAAAATTTTCTTCCAATTTAATTTTGCAAATATACAAAAAAGTTTAAAAAAAAAAGTTTTTTCATAAAAACCGATTATAAATCAAAATTTATAAACTTATAACAAATTTTTCATACATTTACGAAATAAATTTTAGTTGCAAGCCGAAAATAAACTTGCAGCTAGGTTTGTAAATTTTTATGTCTAGTGAGTATTAAATATGACCCTACAAAATATTAGGCACTTTTTAACGAGTTTTTAAATTCCGCCAACACAATCTGCAGTTTCGCATAAAAGTGAGCATTTCCATGTATTTAATTCAACTTCTACATCTCATTCCATTACCCTTTACTTCTGTGAAATGGCCGCAAAACCATTATTTTTTTAAATTCCGTTTTTTACATTAAAAAACTCTTCTCCAGTGTAGAGTGAGTGCTTTGTTTTATTAGGGGATTTGTGCTGTGTGCTAATAAAACATATATGGCCCTGGGAAGGGTAAGGTGCTTGGCTGTGCCAATATAGAGACCTTTTTATTTGTTTTACATTTGCATTTCTCCCTATAAGTACGGCAGCAGAAAGTAGAGTCAAAAAAATCTGTTTTGAATTGCAAATTTTTTTAAAAAAACTGCGGTGAATACTAACGTAATCATATTTTCAGGATTTTCAAAAGATAAATAGAATTGAGAATTATGTACTCGAAAGTTAAAATTTATTTATATTTGCTTAAAAATTAGTAAAAAATAGTGATTTTTTGAAAAAAATGCATTATTTGGAAAAACTTTAAAAAACGTTGAGCATACCCAAAAAAATGGTTTGATTGAAATATGGCTGATTATTTTTCATTCTTTCAACTCATTGAATTAAGATTGTTTCTTTTCTTTATTGTCTTAAAATATTCACCATTGAGGTGATTTAATAGTAACCACTGGTGATTACAAAATACTTTTAATTTATAATAATAATAATAATAATAATAATAATAATCGACTTTATTGTTTTTAGTATAACAAGAATACATTTTTATAACATTTAATTTATACCATAAAAACAAAAGGCGAAGTTCAATTTATCTGGTGACGGATCACCAGTAAATTGTTCTTCCACTTAACCTGAAATGAAATGCCGCAAATCTAGTGCAAACAATAAAACATAATTCCTTAATAATAATAATAATCTGCCTTTTCTCTAAACAAAATTTAATTACTCATATTTTTTAATGTCTCAACGCAACGATTCATCCTTTACCGTTCAAATAAGAATTTTTTAATAGCCCTTTTAAATAGTTTTACAGTGTAAGTTTTATATAGTGCTGGGATATCATTATAAATAGAACATATTTGGTAAGTAAAGCTACGTCTAAAAAGTTCCAACCTGAAAAAAGGAGGGGAAAGAATACCTTTATATCTGACATTTAGATTGTGAACATGAGTCCGATATGTTACTTTTTTGTGCAAGTATGAAGGTGTCTTATTAACAATAATTTTATGAAAAACAATTGATGCATGCATAATCCTCCGGTCCGCCATATTTAACCAGCCATTCTCTTTCAATTTATGACTGATGTGCTCTCTTCTCCGAATATTGTATATAAAACGTAAACAAGAGTTTTGGACTTTTTGAATCTTTTTTTTATATAAGCTGCTTAAAAATGGGCCATAGAGTACATCTGCATAATTAAAAATAGATAAGATCAGTGTATCACACAGTGTCGATTTGATGTGTGACGGTAAAAAATGTCTACTTCCGTATAATACTTTAAGAGTAAAATATGCACGTTTTACTAGTTGATTGACATGTGCTTCAAACTTCAAGTCACAATCTAATGTCACTCCCAAACTTTTAGCTTCATCAACAATCTGTAGCGGCATATTTTCAATTAGAATATTAATATTTGGACTAATCTCGTTTCTTTTCGCCTTATTTCCAAAAACAATAACATTGGACTTATCACTATTGATATTCAGGCAGTGATCAGATGCAGCTTTAACAAAACAGTTTAGATCGTTGTTTATAACATTACATGCTTCTGCTATCATTTCGGAATTAAAGCTATAGTATAACTGAGTGTCATCGGCATAAAGGTGAATGTTACAATGTTGAAGGCTTTTTACAAGATTGGATGTATATAACGCAAACAGCAACGGTCCAAGAATGGAACCCTGGGGTACTCCACACTTTAATTTTTTAAAATGAGAAAATTGTTTATCGATTTTAACTAATTGTTGACGATTAGTAAGGTAGGAATTTAGAAAACTTACAGCATTTTCAGAAAGACCTACATATTGCAAAATTGCAGACATTAAACTATAATTAAGAGTATCAAATGCTCTACTAAAATCCAGCAAAACTAATATACTAGATTTTCCTTTATCCGTAGCTCTTACAATATCATCAACAATATGGAGAAGAGCCGTTGTACAACTATGGTTTTTACGAAATCCTGATTGGGTGCCTGGCAACAATGAGTGTGATTCTATATGTTGTTTTAGCTGTACTTCTACAGCTCTCTCTAATATTTTTGACAAGGTTGGTAATATACTAACTGGCCGTAGATCTTTGTATCCAAGAGGATTTGGTTTCTTAGGTAATATCTTTACAATAGCTCTTTTCCATACATCAGGAAAAACATTATTATTTAAACAATAATTAATAATATGCGTTATGTAAGGAATTACATGAGGGCAACAAATTTTTAAAAGGCGTAAGCTTAACTGGTCTTCCCCCACAGCATTCGTTTTTATGCTATTAATCGTTTCGTAAACAAATATGTCATTAACTTCATGAAATTTGAATTTAGAGTCTACTAGCTTTTTATTTCTATAAGATAATATCAGATGTTCAGGAGGTTCCCTAACTGGACAAGAATTAATGAAAAAATCATTTATTTCCTCAGGATTTTTCAAATTATTAGGAATTAAATTTGATTTATTTTGTATAACATTATAGGTCTTCAAAGTATTCCATAATGTTTTCGAATTATTTTTGTTTAACTCATACGTAAAAAAAGCTTTCTTTTCACGTTTAATCGCAGAATTAGTATAGTTTCTTATGTCCTTATAAAACTGAAAGTGAACTTCCGATTTTGTTCGTGTATATCTTTTGAAAGCTTTATCTCTTATTGTCATCATTTCCCTAATAGCCCCTGTTAACCACGGTGCTCTAGGTTTGGTTACTCGCGAAGTTACTAAAGGTACATGTCTATCTATTATATTTATTAATAAGTTAACAAAAAGAGATATTTTTCATCAGCGGTTTCTTGATCAAAGATTCTAAAAAACGGTGTGTTATGTAAATCCCTCTGAAAATCAGCATCGTTAAAGGTTTTAAATGATCGATATGTAATATTTCGAGGCTCCTGTTTTTGAACACACACCTTTACCTTACAAGAGGCTATGTCGTGATCGCTTATGATTCCAGTTACATGAATAATACCCTTTTCAACCCTTTATAATCAGAGTATAATAATAATACTCTCCCTAATTCACCCCCTTACGAGTGAATTTCAACCCCTGAAGTCGACTGAACGACTTGTATAGGGGAAGGGACGGCTATTATTATTATTTGCCGTGGCGCTCCGGGGCGACTTAAGGATGATTGATGGTGCCATTTGATGAGGAAAACCCGGAAAAACCTCACCCACCATCAATATAGAACAGTATACCGAGGGATATGTAGAGCCTAACTTATGATCCTATTTTTATAAATCGATTAATACTAACGACTAATCACATATTGCTGACTAAATTACTCTCCAACTTAATTTAAAGAACTTCTAGTACCAATATGTAAAAATACCTTTTACTCAAACGTGTGCGATTTTCCTTGTATCTTTATTTTATAGAGTGCCTTCTGTCATGAATTTTCGATTCGGTATACAGCACTGGAGTAAGTAAACAAACAAGGAAGCTAAAGAAACTCCAATTCAAATATAATAACTTTACATATTGTAAAATGGCTAGGAATTTGTTGAGAGAACACTGTTTGAATATTCAGTCCATATTCCAGCTAAATATTAGAATTCT